TAGGACCTGGATGCTGACATAACACAAATAACTCCCTTCACAACCTATAGCATTTTCTCACTTCCCTATTTCTAAAATGGAGATTTAAAAAATGAGATTTAGATGTAATACATGCTAGCTAATGTAGGCATCCTTTTTTTGTATGAGTTACTTGTTCCTATTCAGCTATCTACTCAGTTTAATCATGAAACTCAGTAAACACTTTAATTATACACACGTGAAATTCTGGGAACCCTGAGTTGAATAACACCTCTTCAGGTGGTTCTTACTCTGGCACAATGATTCTAAACCAAGGGGTGGGGGAGGAATTGCCCCCTGCCCCCTCCAGGGGTCATCTGGCAAATGTCTAGAGATACTTTTGGTTGTCACAATTTGGGAGGGCAGTGCTCCTGGCATCTATCAAGTGGGAAGCATTCTACAAGGTACAAAACAGCTCCCATAACAAAGAATGATCTGGCCCCAATTGTTAGTATTGTTAAGATTTAGAAACCCGCTCTGGCAGAAGAGGCACATGTTGAACAAATGGTTGCATTATGCTGGGATATGTGCAAAAATACATGTAAGCCCAGGATATTCAAGTGACTATGTGGAGGGGGAAGCTGGAAGTGGAGTGTGGTTGGGGCGGTGGGCATCAGGGAAGGCTTCATGGGGAAGTGACTCCTAATCATGGTTTTTACTTAACGCCTTTGCAATGAATCATCAAAGAATGACTTTCGTTGAAAGCTTATTAGTTAAGAACTCCATATTGGGATTTTTCTTTCTTTTTTTTTTTTTTTTGACACAACCTCTGGGTGATCAATGCTCTCTAATAACTTTATGTCTTCTCTTAAAAAATATTTCAAGCCTGGGAGAGGGATACAGATGGAAGAATTTATTCAACCTTGTTCCTTGCTTCTCAGCAGGGATCTCTAGTTGACTTTAACATGTGGTTCTTCCACCAGGACTCCTCTTTAAAGCTTCTTAAAACTTGGCCCATGAAACCTTCCCTGGGAGATTTCTGTTCATAGTGATTAATTCATTCTCTGAATTCCTTGGACCCTGTTGTCTCTCTCTACACCCACACCAGTCTCTTGGGGATATGCTTCCACAGAGACTGTGGGCTCCTCAGGGACAGGAACCACACCCTTTACATGTACGTCCCTTTATGGCATTGAACATTGTTTTGGACCCTGATTTACACTGCAGGTGAGAAGAAGAGGAAGACACTCAAAAAAGATGTCAGGAAAGAGTAACACTGGATTGATATGAACATTGTATTAGGTTGGTGCAGAAGTAATTGCGGTTTTTGCCATTGAAATTAATGGCAATTACTTTTGCACCAAGCCAGTATCTTGCCAAAGCCTCTGGATTATGTCTTATAACAAAGTCTAAAAGTTTAATTTCTGTTCAGTAGGTACAACATGCAAAAAAATAAATTGCCATAATTATTATTAGCATTTTCTTACTAACAGATTTTTCAGAAGCTGTTTCCATATCAAGCAGATCAACCTTTCTGTTGTCATAGAGACAAAGATCTTTATATAACCATGGGCAAGGTGAGAGTTTTTTCTTCCCCTCTTTCCAGTTGCCTAGAACTAATAAGAAAGGAGAGGAAATTTTTTAAATCAATTTTTTTCTTTCATTTTTTTCCCAATTAAAACAAATGAAATGTGGGAGGCCATTTTTTAAATCACATTTTGGATTTTAAGTACCTATGTTTTTCATAAAATATGGAAGGGGAGGAAAGATTTGGACGATGCCATTTTCAAAATTTGTAAGCAGTGGGCTTGTCAGTGATAAGCAGTTATAATCCATGTACCTTGGGTTTTTTTCTTCTTCTTAAACCAAATAGTGAACTTCAGATGAAGGTCTTAGGTTACTAGGGGCCCAAATGACTGAGGCATAAACTAGCATCTATTGAGGGGTTGATACTGAATTCCAAGGTGCTCTGTGGAATTGCCTCCTCCAGCCCTGAGAACTTGGAGTGCTCCCCTTCTCTCTGCAGAGGCAAAGTCTATAATAATTTAGTGCAAGACCACATCATCTTCTCTTGGAAGACTTATCTCATAATTTAAGCTTTCATTTTTTTTAATGAACTGATAATTTGCCATTTATAGCAGTTTTCTGTGGCATAATTACTGTTTATCATTTCATGCATTCACCATTAAGAAAAGAGGATTTCATTATGAACCTGTCCACTTTTCCTGTCCTTTGCCTTAATATTGAGCTATTTCTTTACCCAAAGGTCTTCTTCCCTCAGGACTCAAAACTACCCTTATTCGTTCTAAGACTAACATTTCCCCTATGTTGTTAGACTGATGCTCTCCTCCTACCCCCACTGAGATCCCACTCTAACAATTATTAGTCTTTCCTCTTTCCCTGTATCTTTAGTCTGTCCTCCATGGATTCCTTCTTCCAGTCTTCTTTGAGGAAAAAAAATCTTCCTCAATTCTGCTTATTTTCCATCTACCTCTGGATTTAGGATTTTAATTTTTGCCTTTTTGCAATAAATAGATGTTATACATGCTTTGGGGGGATGGGGAACAGAAGTGTATGGCACAAAGACATTTAAAATATACTTTTTCCTGTCTCCCTAGAGAGCTGTGCCTTAGTTCTCAAGCTTTAGTATGCATCAGAATCACTTGGAGGGCTTGTTAACATGTAGCCTGCCGTACCCCACCCCTGGAGTTTCTGATTCAGTAGGTTGGGGCTGAGGCCTCAGAATATGCAGTCTAGCATTTCCCAGGTGATGTTCATACTGCTAGGCTAGGACCATATTTAGAGAAATATTGCCTTAAAATAACAACCCTCTCTTTGCTTAACATGCACCTCTCTTGTCATATGGTTGTTGATGTTGTTAACGTTGTGCCAAAAGCCATCCTGGTTTGGCTTGCATAGGTTCATCCTCCACAGAGTGACAAGGGCCTCTCCTGAAAGATGAGGGCATCTCTCAACCATCTAGTGCTCAGGAAATACAATCTGGTGAGGGTCAGCATGGGTGGCTAAGGAGGCTAAATGACTGGCAGAGGATGTTCCTGGTGGATGCTCAGGGTCTCCACCCCCAAACCCAGTCAGCCCTGCCAAATATTTCTGAGGGGTTCTAGGATTCCTGAAACCCTGCTGGGAGGCAGCAGGAGAAAGTGTTTTTTTTTTTTTTAAATTAACTTCAGACTTTTCCAGGGAAGGGTCCTCTCCTGAGAACAGCACGTGGCAGCAGGAGCCCTTAAGAGATCTCTCTCACTGAAAAGCTGAATTGAAAAGGACCTGGGGCTTGGCCCACCCAATCATGCCCACAATGGGAGTTCTTCACTCAGTACTAATTTTGGAAAAACTGAGTGTGTACGAGTGTGTGTGTGTGTTTTATTAAGAAAGCGGTAGTTTTCTTACAAAGACAAGCAAATATAAAAAGATAATGAATAGATAAAATCCTGAACTGCTACTCAATAGCTGTGGGACCTTGAGCAAGTTATTCTTTCTCTTTGGATCTCAGTTTCTTCTAATCTGCATGATAAGTAGTAGGCAAGTGAGAAACTCTGCTAGTGGTACCGTCATGCAGAGGAGCAACACGGCAGCTTGTTGGGGATGGACCAGCGCTGGAACTTGGAAGGCCTGTACTATGGATTTGTGAATTGATGGAAACAAATTCTATCAGCATGGTCCATTCCTTCATGGAATGGAGCTGACAAGATAATTAGTGGAAACTAATTAATATAAATCCCTCAACCCTTTAACTGTATCTCTCAACCACAGTCATTCCCAGAAGGCCTTTAACTTTTCCACTGGAAGAAGCCCGGCCTTCTGGGAATGATTGTGGTTGAGAGGGTTAGGGAGGGCGAGCCTTCTGTATGAAACAGGCTGTTAGGGGTTCAAAGGAAATGGCAGAGGGGGTGGTCTCCTTCATTCCCCAGCACAGAATTCCATCATGTCTAATGGTTAGGAGATGATCAAGACCTCTACCAGCCTTTTAGATATTCTTGTCTTTTTTTCTTTCTTTTCCTTCCTTTGAAGGAAAAGAATTGAGATGTAAATCCTGTACTATAGAATTTAAAGTGGACAATGCAATGGTTTTTAATATGTTCACATGCAATTGTCACTACAATCTAATTTTACAAAAGTTTCATCACCCCCTCACCCCATACCCATTGATTGTAGTCACCCATCCACCCCCTCACCTCGGGCAGCTACTAATCTACTTTCAGTTTATCTGGACATTTCATGTAAATAGGATTATAAAATATGTGGTACTTTTTTTTTTTAAAAGGGAGAAAGGAGACCTGATGACCCCCTGATACACTAGCACTAAAGGCTCCCCTTCTCCTCTTGACCTCATCACCCTGGAATGAATGCCCTCCACCTGCTTGCTGATATGTACAATCCCTCAATCAGGCCTGTGAGTGTGGAGGTGGTGGTGGTGGTGCACGGGGTCCGGTGGCTGGGCATGGGGCCTTTGGTCCATTTGACCATGAGACCCAAGTGCGAGCACATCTGGGCCCCGTGGAGCAGCGGCTTGTATGCTCACTAAGAGGCCCGTGTGACCGCACCAGCAGTTCCAGTTGACAGATTAGGTCACCCTTGGCCACAGGGCCTGAGCACTCCATTCCTAGAGGACCACAGGGTGCCAGAGCCCACATTCATCTTCCCTGACGTGGCTGGCCCAAGGCTCAAAGGCCCGTGACTTCTCTGGCAGAGACAGCTGCTGGTTGAGGAGCATCACACCCATATTCCCTTCCAGCAGCGGCAGAGAGCAGGCCTTCTCCTGAGGGTCCTGAATAGTTCTACTCTCCAAGCCGCAGCGCCACCCCGGGGGAAAGAGCCGGGGCTCTCAGGGGCATGGGGTTGCAAAAACTACCACCAAGCTTTGAGTTCTCATCACCCTAAAACGTGGGGGGAATTTGATAGGGCAAAGCGTCTTTGTCCAAGCTTCCAGGGAAATGGGGCCACAAGAGAAGGGAGGGAAGGTGACACAGAGCGACTGAGGGTCCTGCATCGAGGGGGCCGCGACGGGAGCGCTGTGTACTCACAGTCGAGTGAGAGCGGCCCCGGGGCCGGGGCAGCGCAGGGCGCCGTCGGGCGTGCAGTTGCAGGGCTCGGGGCAGCAGCGCGCCTCGCGCAGCGCTCGTGGCAGCGGCGGCAGCGGCAGCAGTAGCAGCAGCTTCAGCAGCTGCAGCGCCAGCAATCGCTGCTTCATGGCCGGCGAACTGGGCTTCTGCGGCTTGCCAGTGTCTCGGACGGCCTCGGAGTGCGGCCCGCACTCCTCTCCCCGCCTCTTGACCTGCCCTTCCACACACCCTTCCCTGCCGGCCCGCCCCTGCCCTCCCCTCTTACCGCGCACCCCGCTGAGTCTGTTCTGCCTCGATCTGATCTGCGTGCCCAGTGACCCCATCACCTCCTTCCTGCTACTTTCCCTTGTCTTGTTCCCTACCACCTGCAAATGGTCCTCCCTATAGGAGGCAGAGAGATTTATCTGGCTTGGTCCTGTGTCTCTTCTATAGATTGGAAGGTCACTGACAGTAAAATCCAATTCAGATTTATTTTTATATTCCTCTGGTTTCTACATGATAAGTCCTCAGTAAAGATTTGTTGAATGAATGAATGAAACAGCATAATACTGGTATGGCTGCCCCATAGAAGGCCCAGGATAGGTTAGACCTTGTAACAGGGGCTCTGCCTCACCTTACGTCTAAAGCTCCACATATGTTTTGGATTAGAGGTAGGGCATTCTGAGTTGGGTGAGCTGATACTTCCAGAAACCTCTTTTATTTCATCTGCGAAAGCGTCCGATAGATACTCGCTATACCCACAGCAGAAGGCATAAGAGTGCACAGCTCAGGCAGTTCTCCTCTCCTTTATCCTCGGCCCCTAATCCTTTCTTGTCTCTCTAACCAAATCCTTCCATTCTACGAGTAATCACTTCCCATCCTCCCTCCTACCCCAGTAATTTCTCTTGGTGGTAGGTGCTTTCTTCTTTATGGTATAGCTATTTGGCTTGGTCCTGTATCTCTTCTATAGATTGGGAGGTCACTAACAGCAAAATACAATTCAGATTTATTTTTATATTCCTTCTGGCTTATACATGGTAAGTCCTCAGTAAAGATTTGTTGAATGAATGAATGAAACTGCGTAATACTGGTAGCGGTTGCCCCATAGAAGGCCCAGGATAGGCTAGACCTTGTAACAGGTGCTCTGCGTCACATCATGTCTAAGCTCCACATTGAACTAGTAGGGTGTTTACAATGAGAAAAATGTCCTGAGAGATATATGGCTTCCCTCAAGTCACATGGTTTTTAAGTAGTGAAACCTGGAACTCATGTCTATCACTTACCCCATCTCTCACCATTGTAAAAAACTGTCATGTGACCTACATACCAAGGGACTTAGAAAGGAGACAAAATTTTATGGTAATCATGGGGATGCATAATATTCCCTCTTTGATTTGACCATTCCTTCCTTCCTAGGACTCTTTTTGGATTCTAGAAATCCTAGCAGTTTTGTAGGAAGAGGAGGGCTCTGAAAGCTGGGAAGGCATCTGAGGCTATAAAGAGAGGAAGCATAATAGATTTCTTTCATTCTGAAGCCAGCTTTCAAGAGTGGGCTCCCTCTTTCACCATTCTACAGTCTCTTGCTCAAGGAGGGTAGATTATTATTATTTTAAAAACTCGTTTGGCTTTGCCCATATCGTGCTAGATGGCACAAAAACAATGCTTATGTCTATAATATTGTTTTCTCTGGATCTTCTCATCAACTGCTTTATCTGATGACTCCTCACCCTTTAATACCTCTGCATGGGCTGTTCCCACTATTTTCTCTTCCTTTTCCATTATTCCATTAGATAGACTTCTGATTGTCTTTCAAGAATCAGTCCAATGTCATTTCCACTTTGCGTCTTCTCTGACTCAACCTAGTTGAGTATCATGGCCATAACACCTGATTCTACAGCCTGTAATCCAACACACTGTAATTATGGGTTTAATTCTGCTTTCTCCTGTCTATTCATCTTATTATCACCCGAGCATGTCATAGCTTCTAGCTCCTAGTAGGTGCTCCGTATGTATCTGTTGAATAACAGAGTGAATAAGTGAAACCCAGGCCCAGATTTGTAGTAGATGCTCAGTAAATTATCTGAGAAGAGCTTAACAGCCTCACTTGCTTTATTCTCAACCATGCTGGATCTGTCTTGATATGCATAAAGTAATTTCCATGACTGCTTTGGGGGTCATGTTTTCTGTTCACTTTTAGTTTTGTCAGATTTTGGTAGGGAAGTTGGGGTAGCAATGGGATTTTTAAACATTTCTACCATATATCTTGAATGGAGGAGAGAAGGAATGAATAACTCAAGGTGACTGAGTGACGTTTCTTTCAAGTCTCATGTTTACGTGACTTTTTTTTTTTAAACTTTGTAGCGCATCTGTTACATAAAAAAAGTTTGCTCCCACCTACCCCTGAATCTTTGAGAACCATGGATATCCCAGGAAGAATCATTTAATCCTGTACTCTAATAGGAGGAGTAGGCAATCAGAACACTAGGATTTTCCTTCTGGTTCTGCCGTCAATCATGCGATTTGCTCTTCAGTCTCTTTGTCTGTAAGGATTGAAGTTCACTATCCCTAAGGCTCTTCTGGCTCTAAAATGCAAGGACTTTCTAAGCAGCAACTCTAGCATTGCTAGTGGGAGGAATTGGATTGTATATGTTGACTTCTTATAGCTTGTCTTGGATTGGAAATAAAATCCTGTTTATGGAGAGCTGAGGTTGTTCATTTGGAAGAAAACTCACAACTGTAATGGGTTTTCACAAAATTTTACTATCTAGATTAATTTCAGTTGGATCTTAATTATCACATCAATTCTTGCAATGTACCTATTATAATAAAATCATATTGATTCATTTGTTATAATCATAAAAGTTTGCAACAATGGAGTTTGCCTATCTTATTCATTAATACTCATTAGAGTGAGTATTTTTAAATCCAAAGGACTTTGTTTCATTACCTATGGTTATAGCTACTTTGTCACAGAACTTCAAACCAGCATGACCCACAAAGATTGCTAATTACATTTTAATGACAAAATAAAGTTCACAGAATTCGCAAGTATTTTATTCTACTTTAGAGACAGAAAAATATAGTATCTGACACTGTAACTCAGAAATTGCAATTAAAACTCTCCAAAGTTTTAGAACAGAGCTGCTCATATTTTAGTGTGCAGAACTACAATTTGCAAAGCTTTAAAAACAAATATTCCTAGAACTTTCCCCAAGAGATTCTGATTCAATAGACATAAAGTGAGGTCCAATAATCTGTATTTTAACAAGCTTTCTCATGTAATTTTGATGCATGTAGTCCTAGAGCACAATTTGAGGAATACAAAAATGGAAATTCTAGAATTAAATTTGCCTTAAGAAGACAAAGCTCAAGAATCTTTATTAAGGACTTCGAATAAAGCCTAATAATTTTGATTCTTTTTTTTTTTTTTTTGAGACAGAGTTTTACTCTTGTTGCCCAGGCTGGAGTGCAATGGTGCAGTCTCAACTTGCTGCAACTTCTGCCTTCCAGGTTCAAGTGATTCTCCTGTCTCAGCCTCCCGAGTAGCTGGAATTATAGGTGCCCACCTCCACACCCAGCTAATTTTGGTATTGTTAGTAGAGACGGGTTTCACCATGTTGGTCAGGCTGGTCTCGAACTCCTTACCTCAGCTGATCCGCCCGCCTTGGCCTTCCAAAGTGCTGGGATTACAGGTGTGAGCCACTGTGCCTGGCCTTGATGCATCTTAAAACAAACCTTGATGTGTATAAGTACATGCATGGAAACAGTATATTCTGTGTGCATGTGTTTAAATGTCTAAACTTATTTAATTGTTTTTTTTTTGTTTTTTTGAGACGGAGTTTCACTCATGTTACCCAGGCTGGAGTGCAATGGCGCGATCTCGACTCACCGCAACCTCCGCCTCCTGGGTTCAGGCAATTCTCCTGCCTCAGCCTCCTGAGTAGGTGGGATTACAGGCACGCACCACCATGCCCAGCTAATTTTTTTTTGTATTTTTAGTAGAGACGGGGTTTCACCATGTTGACCAGGATGGTCTCGATCTCTTGACCTCGTGATCCACCCGCCTTGGCCTCCCAAAGTGCTGGCTTTACAGGCTTGAGCCACGGTGCCTGGCCTTTAATTGGTTTTATTGCCAAAATTTATTTTTTTACTTATGGAATGAGCAATGTTAAAAAATCATGGAATCTATTTTCTTTATGCCACACTAGGTCAAAACTCAATAGCACCTGAAGTTACGCTAAGACATTGGAGTTGAAAGACATTAGCAAAGTAATTTTTAAAAAAATTTTACTTTAAGTTCTGGGGTACATGTGCAGAACATGCACGTTTGTTACATAGGTATACACATGCCATGGTGGTTTGCTGCACCCATCAACCCATCATCTACATTAGGTATTTCTCCCAATGCTCTCACTCCCCTTGCCCCCCACTGCCAACAGGCCCCAGTGTATGATGTTCCCTCCCTGTGTCCATGTGTTCTCATTGTTCAGCTCCCACTTATGAGTGAGAAAATGCAGTGTTTGTTTTTCCGTTCCTGTGTCAGTTTGCTGAGAATGGTGGCTTCCACCTATATCCATGTCCCTGCAAAGAACATGAACTCGTTCTTTTTTATGGCTGCATTGTATTCCATGGTGTATATGTGCCACATTTTCTTTATCCAGTCTATCTTTGATTTGTATTTGGGTTGGTTCCAAGTCTTCGCTCTTGTAAATAGTGCTGCAAAAAAAATATGTGTAGAATGATATATAATCCTTTAGGTATATATACCCAGTAATGGGATTAGCAAAGTAATGTTTAAAGCCTTAAGTAGAATAGGCAAGGTTTTTTTATTCCCGAACACATACCCTGTTAGTACAATAACTGATATTTCTTCTCACTTAAAAGCAATGGTTTTACCTTTCCTTTGGAGGAAAAGGTGAATGTAGGCAGAGGAAGAAAAAATTGCTTCAGAAAAGAAAAATACAGTTACGCCTCTGAGCTGTTCACCTTTTTACCTGGGGTAAAAAAAACTAAACAAAACAAAATAAGAGAACAAAAACATACTGAAAGTTACACTCCGAAATTTCGTGCAACTTCTTTATTGCTTGTTTGGAAATTTCATCTCTGTTTCACTGTCTGCATAATGTAAAATCAGAGCTGTGATCATCTGTGCCACCTCCAACACTGCCCTGGGGTTCTTGTGGGTCTCAGGAGGAG